AATGAAAATGGTTAGTACTTAGTTTCGTTTGCTGATGGAAATCATTCAGCAAGGTAAAGTATTAGTAGTAAGTGCTGCTGAAACTGGTGACCGTGGTATTGGCAGCATGACCTGTCCTCCACCACCTTTGATACAGCTGTCCTTGCTTTGGACAGTAGCCCTTCTCCTCTGCAAGCCTGGCTTGGCAGTATGAAAACAGACACATAATATAGGCAGCAAACAAGGTACTGAAAATGCTTCTGTGTGAGCCACAGCGGAGTCTGCAATGAGATATCTACAGCCCATCAGGATGTCAGAGGATGCAGACCATGCATGATCTGTCCTGCAGTTAAGATGTCTCTAACAGGATTAGCCCAGATCAATTGGCCTGCCAGCAACTGTGCTCTCAGCATTTCAGTCAGCCCCGTCACCGGATTCTTGTTAGGTAAATGCCTTGTGTTCCTTGCTGCTGGGTAACTGAGTGCACGCTCTCATCTAGCTCCTTGAGCTGTGATGCTTAACTCTTGGTTTGGGGTGCGAGGGAGGGAGAAGGTATCAATTGTCCCCTGTTAACCCATGAATTATGGCTTCATGAAATGTATAGCTGCTCTGAAAGCCCTGGCTATGCTATGGACACAAGGCAAAGCAGTTGTGGAGCAGTGGTTGTTGCAGCTTCTGTCCCTGGCTCCACCCTCCCTGTTATTTTTTTGGAGCTCTAAATGCCTCACGTCATGTTGCAGAAGTGATTGTAACCCCTCTAGATCACATGAACACTTCAGCAGAGTCACTTCATTACAAGCTGCTGTTAAGATGCAAATAAACCCTCCTAATGCAGTAACTCCAGCACTGCTACACTTCATAAGTCAGCATAACTGCTTACATGGAGCTGAAATTACAGGGCAACTGCTCTTCAACTGCAGAGCAGCTGCAATGCCATCCAGGCCAACTAATACAAAGTAAAGACGTCGATGCAGTTTAGGAATAGGTGCTAGTACTGGTTTTGTTGATACAGGGTTGAGCCCAGCATCTTTTTAAACCCATGTGGCTGCTTGAGTGCTGTTGTGGCAGGATGGGTTTGAAGGGAATAAAGAGAATTCCTGTTTGAAGAACTTCATGTGTTTGGTGGCCAAGGCTCCCTGTTCATCTCTTGAAGCTGGCAGCTCTTCATCCTGGATAGAGACTTTGGGCTCTTCAGCAAGAGGCAAGCAGGCCAACTTTGGGCTCAGGATGAGGGCTCTGCAGTGCTACCAATTCCCCTTGGCCATCAAGTGGCAGCCTTCGTCCACCCCACCTTCACAGCGAGCATTTCAGCCTGAGTAGGGCTGACAGCTGTATTAACGTGGTCCTCTCCTCTGCGGCGCTGTTGCCTGCTCTCGCGTAAGGCAGGTTCACGATGTCCTTCCAACAGGAGTGGCTGCCTGCCCATGAGATGAATGGAAATGGTTAACTAGAGCTGCCAGCCCTTGGGAATTGGTTCAGCAGCACTTCGTGCTTGACTAATAGCTGCTTCTTTCCTTCTGCACTCTGCCTGTCACTCCAGATGGGAGAGGACACTCCGTGGGTAATTGGTTCCTGTTCCCTCTGTCTTCCTCCTTCCCTCTTACTCACACACTTCGCTGTTACGTCTCTTTCATCATTTTGAGTTTGGAATAAAGTTAGGTCTTGGGCATCTTGCAGGAGGATTGGGTAAACCAGACTTGTAGTTTCTGAATGAGGAAAGCATTGGTGCTAAGGCAGAGTGACAGGCAAGAAAAATGGAGAAAGGGACTTTGTGCTGCTGCAATGGGTAGTGCACCCCAGATCTGATGTGGAACTGATTAGTTCTATATTAACTTCCCCCCTTTAATTTCTGTTGAAGTAGATATGTTGTCACTTCCCTTTTCACTATATAAGTAGAGCCAGCTCTGCCTGTAGGGACCTGGTGAAGCTGCCAGCTCCTTTGAGCTCGCTCTGCGGCTTTGTAGCACACATCTGCAGTGCTTGGTCCCAAGCATAGGAGCCAAGAGAGTGGCAGGCTACTGTGTGCAGACCTCTCCTACGAGTAAAGCGTGGCTTCAGGAGGACCAGGTCAGAGCTTCCTGGCATTGGAAAGAATCTTTTCTACCACAAAGCAGAGATGTCGGGTGCAATTTAGAAATGTAAGGAGGGTCATGGTAAATTGTCTGAGCCAGTGAGGGGTTTTTTTCTCTGCCTTGTAGGGAGTGAGGGCTGGAGTCTCGACTCAAGACAAGCAATAAATCCAATTTCTAGTTTTCCCTCAAGGCCTGACAGCTAGGGAAAATGGAAGACTTGCAGACAACTTGAGGAACCCCAATATGTCATTCCTTCCCTCCTTCACACTGAGTACATGCAGATACCAGTGTATGGGTTTCTTCGAGGTTGGATTCCTAGCCTGCAGCTTCTTATGATGAGTGTAGTAGGAAATGGTAGAATAGTTAACATCTGGCTTGATTATGCAGAATTATTCAGTCATTTCCATAATACCCTTTGTAAAATGTTTGCTGCTTGATAAACCAGTCTTTCTCCTGCTTCAGACAACAGTACCAGAAATCCTCCCTGCATGCAATATTATCTGGAAGTGAACTGGATTCTTCACCCTTTTTTCTTTTCCTCTGGACTTCACTGCCTGTCAGTATAAAGTGTGAAGTTCATCTGCGTGCAAGACTATGAATAGGGATGAGGTGTAATAGTTGCATTTATTACTCCTCAGTGAGCCAGTAACAAGATGTAAATGATCTGATGTATTAATCTAAAACACAGCTTGGCTTAAAGAGCAGTCTGTAGAACAAAACTCTGCTCTGCCAGCCTGTTTCAGTGGGGGAGACCTGACAGTGTAATAAGCCCTATTTTATAAGCTCAGTATTAATTGGATTTGCATCCTCTGGCTGGCTTCCTTTGGTCTGTGACTGATTCTTTTGACTTGGGAATCGCTCGCTTTTATCTCCTAAGTAAGCTAAGAAAAACTGGACTTGCGCAATGCACTGCCATGGGCAGCAAGAGGATGGATTGCTGAGATGGCCTCATGCTGAGGTATGAAGAGGTGGCCGTTGCAGAAGATGAGGGATGTCCTATAAATTTCTGCCATGACTTCAAGTAGGGATAAACCAAGTCTCACACAGGAAAAAAGCTCTGAAGGCTTCTTAACTAAAGGCAAATTGTGTGTGATTTGTACTTCTCTTAACATCTACTGATGGTAGCTAATATTGCATCAGGTGACTCCTGTGGGGACTAGGGGAAGGAGAGATGCCAGGGGATAGAAGGGGGATCCAGAATAGCACAGGGATTTGTCAAATTTTACAGGTTTTTTGGAGGATAGTTATCATCTAGTAAGTCACTGTCTGTGACTTTGCTGCTGTTCTCAAGGCGTTTTATCCTTTTTATCTCTGCTTTGAGGGAGAGAAGTATGAACCTTTATGGTATCTCTTGACCAGCGTAAAATATATTTGCCATGAGATATCCCAGATAACAGGCTAGCAGGGACCAGAACAAAGTTAAATTTCCAAGTCTTTTGTGCAGAGGTAAAAGGTTGGAGCCTTTTTGGCTCTAAGCACAGACACTCCTGGAAGCTTCTGCTTTAGCTATATGGTGCATTTTTTCAATATCTTAACACATCACCGTATATTTGAACAACATACCTAGAGCTGAACCATTTTGTCAAATGCTTTTTTTTTTTTTTTTTTTAAAGCAAACAAACTCCCCAAACCCTAATCAAATGGAAGAGCAAAGCCATCTACGAGGCGAGCTGTGTTGTTCTGGTCTGCCAGTCCAGCCTTTCCTCCTACCTCGCCCTTGCACTTGCTTCATCCTCCATGCATGTTGTCAGGTCATGATCCTTGTCTGAATGTGACCAAAAAAACCCCTGCACTAGGCAAAAAACTACCATGGTCTTCTGAACAAATGCCTAGGACACAGATAAGCCTGGAGATGTCTCTAGCAAATAACCGCTGCAGATCTGTGCTTGTTTCCTCATGGCTATCAGTCATCTGTCAAGTGCTTTATAAATATTCACAGACATGATGTTGTACTCACAAACAGCACTTGTAGCCAGCTTTGGAGTCTGTCCTGATCACTGAATTCTCTCAAGCTTGTAGAATGGTGTGGATGTTTAAAAAATGGGCTTTATCACTGAGAAAGAGGTCTGGGTGCTTTGTAAAGGGAGTTCATGGTAGGACAGCTTCTAGGTGGGCTGCAGGATGGTTTGTTAGAAGGGTACCAGAGAGGATTTAGTGTTTATGGAGGGTTGCGCAGGTGGTACACCGTGGCTATTTCAGTTACTTCAAACTGTAGCCGTGTAGCTTGGCAGAGATGGTTACTGAAATATCTTAGTGCACCGTAGGTCTCCTTACCATTTGAGTGGCCCATTAACACATAAAGCTGTTTTTTTTTCATTTCTAAGGGAGGGGGGCATCTTCAAAGGGAAGGCAAAGCCCACCTATCTGAGCTGTTGTAATACCAGCATGTATCCTGTTCTCTTTCTTCCTTGTTGTTGAAAAGAGCCACATGTCAGAGGAATGTAGCCAAGATGCATTGTGTTTTCCCGTAGTTTGTAGCTGTTCCCTAGAAAACTAAAGCTTTCAGGAAGTGAGCTTCCTGTCAGTTTTATTTTTATTCCATTTCACAGTTACCCCACTGGGTTTTGTGAAGCTGCTCAGGACTGCTGGCAACCAGCGTGGTGGGTTGAAGGGAAAGCACTGATGCATGAAACGTGAAGAATTGCGCAGAGTTTTTGGTGCAGATGACAGGTGCAAGAGGGGATGAGTTTTTGTTCTTATTAACCTGCAAAACACTCCTGTCCGCAGTAGGTGCGTGGGGTAATTTCCAAACAGTTCTGCTCACACAATGGCAAAAAACCCCCTCTGTTCCCTGTGCTTTCCCATCATTGCGTTTCTGTCTGTCCTGTATGCGGCAAGCGAGTGAGACGTGCTCGCAGCAGTGCGGTCAACTGAGCTTCACTCCGGCCATCTGACACTTGGCTTAAATGAACTCGGTCTTTCTCTCCTCTCTCTCCTTCTCTCTTTCAGCTTGGCAGTGACCTTGGCGGGGGCATTGGAGGAAGCCCGGCAGTAAGTGCCATTCCATTTTTTTCCCCAATTTAAAAAGCTGCTCAAAGCTCAGGGTTTTTAAACATACCCTCACCCATTATGTGCTGGAAGATGCTTTAAATCCCTGAAAATGTTTGAAAATGGACAAATGCAACTGAAACATACAGGTCCCCACCTATATTGCTTTGAGTCCAGCTGCCACCTGGGCTTTCCTAAGAGCAGCCAGGGCCAGAGCTGTTGACTCTATCTGCTTAGCTCTTCTTTCTCAGAGCTTTTAGTTTGAGCACCAGCGTTAACGCTGGCAGTCTTGTGCAGTCCTTGTGCAACCGCTTTGGCAGCTGAAAGGCCAAGGATGCTTACCTTTCTACTCACAAAGCCTGTTCTGTTGTAACCCTAACCCAGTGTCACCACAGGCTTGTCTGAACTCAATGCTTTTCTCCTCCCAAACACCATGTAAGATTTTTGCTGGACATCAGGATCAGGTGCTCTGACCTTTCCTACTACGTGTGGTCAGTGCTAAACTCTACCTGCCACCGGCCTCCTTCTCTGTGCCTGTGCTTTGTGAGTGTCCTAGTGCCTAGAGCGCTTGCCAGGACATGGGAGACTTTCAGGCTGCTTCCAAAGCACCCTTGGCTTCAAATGCTTACCAGCTTCTTCCAGGAAAGCATGGGAAAAGGATGCAAGATGAATTGGAGATGCAGTGGGCAGGAGGGAGTGTGCCTCCAACCCACAGCCAAAAGCAGTCTCCTGGAGAAAGCTCCAGTCCCTCTTCCCAGGACTGTGTAGCCAGTAATTCAGTGAGGAAAGCATACTCAGTTCTGGAGTGAGGGCTTTTCAGAGATCCTTGTTGTGGCTGCAGTAATTCTCTCTCCTTCTTTCCCTGTAAATCTTGCATTCCTTTCTAACTTCAGCATGAGGCAGAGGAGAGCTGGTGGTGCAGTACACCTGTAGCCCCCAGGCAGTACACACCAGGACGTGGGAGATACTTAACTCTGTAGAGATCATACCTACAAAGCCAGGTCTCTGCCTTCCTGGGCCAGCATAAACCCACCAAGCAGTTCTATAAAACCACCGGTCCTCCCTATCCAAAGGGTTGATTGAAATACCACATCTCAGGTGGGTTCCTGAACACAGAACAGTGGTGAGACTTCAGACCCAGACCTGTCGTCAGTATTTCCTATTGCCTGCCTTAGTCATTCTGCCTGTTTCTGGGCTGCTGACTGGTGAATCCTATTCTCAAGCACGTCATTCTTCCTGCTCATAGTAAAGAAGAGAACCTGGGAGTCTAACTTGAGTGTGACTGTCCCGCCTGGAGCTGGGCACCTAAAGGTTAATATTGCATTTTTGGTGCCTTCATTTAAGTCCTGAGAGGGAAGGATTGCCCTTCTTGCAGAAAGGTTGTCCTCTGGCAGACAGAGACAGCTAGTTCTGCTTCATGTCATGAACCTTTTGGACCACAGTGCTGAGAATGCAGAGCTCTGGCTTTGGGTGGGAGTACACAATACGGTCATGACTCCCTTGCTATCTCTGGATATGCAAAATCTTGCAGGTTCCTGAAGACTGTTGTAGTTGGGGGAAGATCTGAAGCATTTTTTCTTTTCCCTGGGTTTATGTAGGGTAGATCCACAAAGCATATTGTCTTTATGAGAAGGAGAGAAGTAGAAGAATGATTCCTCTACAGTGGGAATAGATAACTGGAGCTATAAAAAAAACAATGTGAAAGCTATTGCATGGTTGAGGTGACAGCCGAGCGTAGGGATTAGTTGCCAAGAGCTTTGGAATTCAAATGCATTATTTAGCACTATTGATAATTCAGCGGGGAAGCTGCAAACAGCTTTAAAATATTTAGGATATTGCCCAAGTTCATGCTTTATTTAATAAGTAGTGTTCTTCATATGTGATGTTAATCAGTGCCTGTTCTTTCTAACTCCTCCAGGTGGGGCAGACCTACATTCCCTCCTCTGTGCCAGCCACCTTTGCCCCGTCACCCACCCCAGCGGTGGTGAGCAGTGGACTCAATGATCTCTTCGAGCTCTCATCTGGTATAGGCATGGCTCCTGGAGGATATGTGGCTCCGAAGTCTGTACGTAAGGAAAATGAACATCCTCAGTATGTTGCCTTACCTTAGGCTACAGGAAGTCTGAGATTGCTCACTTGTCCCCTTTATTGTGGGTCTCTGGTGCTATCAGGGCACCTTAGTTCAACTCAGTCCCATTAGGGATGCCCTGTTTTTTTTCCCAGGCAGAGTAACAGTGTATTGGAGACCATGTTAGTTGTTAGTTACAGACTTCTGTTTTTTTAGCAGTTCCCTCATTTTGCCTGTAACAATATTGCTCTAAAGAATGGCTTATATAAGATATGAGAATTTCAATTTTGTCAGAGCAGCTTTCCTGGAGACCTACTTCTTAGCAAGTTTCCCCAGGAAACTGAGGGCAGGATACAGTTTGCTACAACTTTCATAGAAGATTCGTTTATTTGGAGGAATCCAATATGATGGTGAAGATGAAATCATGTGATTGGGATGAGCATGCCGCAGTGTAATGCGGATAAATGCTCTGTTAGTGACAGAGATCGCAGATGCACTGACTGAAGCATGCTTCATGTGCAGGGTTTGTGAGATACAGAACGTGGTTCTGGTAACAGGCTGTGGAGCAGCCACAGGGTTAGCCTATCATGCCTGAAAGGGAATAAACAAAAATTAGCACTCTTATTAAATAGTCAATGGATGAATAAACTTAAGTCATCGTATGAAATCTAGGATCCCAAGGTAGCAGAGCATACTTGAAGCTTTTGGTCCTTAGCTGCTTGCAATTATTACACCATATGTAAGACCAAGTATGAAAGAACCCAGTAATTTTGAGCTAAGTAGTACTTCATTTTGCACCACTCAAATTTGGGTTTGGGTTTTTCCCACAAAGATGATTCGGGGATCCAGAACCCAAACAGCTAATAGTATCAGCCCTGTGATTTTTATTTGGTTCAAACTTTAGTATTGTCCTGCCTCTAGTAGCCCAACAAGTCCTTGGAGAAGCCTGTCCATCAGCAGACTTGGTAAGTCTCACATTAGTGTGATGGGCACAAGCTTTCACTGTTTCTTGTGCACACTAATGCTAGAGTATCTTTGAATTATGTGAGTGCTGTGAACAAATATGGATTAGGAGCAGCAAGCTTATTTCTCATTGGTGAGCTTGTTCCTTTCAACACCCCATGTTGTATCTTCCCTGCAGTGTTTCTTTAGTGTCTGTGGGCTTAATGTGCCAATGTAGCTGGATTTCCGAACTCAGGACTTCTCTGCTGTTTGGAAAACTACTTGTTTGTTATCTTCAGGCCAGATTTCTCATGCTGAATGACATCTCTTGTGTTAAGGTTTGGTTGCCTGCAGTGAAGGCTAAAGGATTGGAGATCTCAGGCACGTTCAGTCACAGGCAGGGACACATCTACATGGAGATGAACTTTACCAATAAGGCTTTACAGCACATGACTGACTTTGCCATTCAGTTCAATAAGAACAGGTAAGAAAACAACACACTTTGTCTGCTATGTTAAAAAGATTGCATGCTCCTATGAAAGGAGTCTGTCTACACTGCTAGATATAGGGAGGGCTTTTATGTAGGTACATAATGCAGTCATGGAAACAGCTGGATGATACAGCCTGAACTCTCCATCACACCACAGTTGTGTGAAAGGGCTGAAAATATAGACTGATAAATCTGTGAGGAAACAGGCAGCAAACGGTCCCGTCATTCTCCTAACTCTGAAATGGCATCTGCCCCATTTAATCTCTGCAGCGTTTTAAAGCAGCCTCATGAGTTGTTAGGCAGGTTAGTGGTTTTATAGCCAGTAAGTGCCCCGAGGAAAGCAAGAGCATAAACAGGCAAGCATTTGAGCTGCACAAATATCAATCCATAATGCCTCTACCTCCTGACTTAATTGCTGTGCTGCCCCTCAGACTGTCTGGAAGTATGGGTCTCATTAATAAAGCTATTTGTCAATGAAGAAGTTGCAAGTTAAGAGTCAATGGCACATGTTTTCCCTGTAATTGGCAGCAGAACAATTTTGTCAGAAGGAGCAGCCACTTGAATGTTTAGAGCATACAGATTGTTCTCAGAAACCCATCTCAGCCAAAAGACATGACATGGCAGTACAGCCCCGATGTCTTCCCACAAATAGCCTTCCCAGTTAGAGCTTATCGTGCGGTTTGCTGTATGTTATCTTGAGCAAGGACCAGGCTAGTTCTTATCAAGACTGTAAAGAATATCTTGTGACTGGAATGTTCCCTGTATTTCTTAATATCCTTTCACTGGAAAAGGGTTCGCTATACTAAAGATCCACTGAAACCATCTCTTTATATCACTGTTAGCCTTGCAAATTTGGGATTTCTTGGGACGAATAATATTTACTTACAAAAGACATTATGCTAAGTAAGTCTTAGTAAATGTTCTCTCTGGACTGCTATATTTTCTGGAGAGTTTTGCTAAGCTGCAATATGCAAATATTTCATGCAAATTGGCCTGAAAAAAAGCTGTTTTCCTTGTGATTTTTCCCCATACATCAAGCTGCATGTTCTAGCCACACCTACATGGTACTTCTCAAGGATGTAAGAAGTTTAAGTACTGTACAGTAAAACAGCAATTTCTTTTGCAGCGTATCAGCACATGCTCCCAATACAATCTACTACTATTTACTCTTCTACAAATACTGTTCTCCTGTCACTGCTTTCCACTGTGGCTGGTGCATTGGAAAGAGCTGCAGTGGGCTGGCTCTTTAGGTTTAAATATTAAGGTTTGTGACTGGGAAGTTTCTATTGCTTTTCCCCCTTTCCTGCTGCTACTAATCACATTCACTGCAGTCTTGGGATAAAGCTTTAAAAAAATAAAATAAAAGAAAGCTAGAGCTCTAGTGTGCTGTAATAGCACAGCCTCTTAGTAGCAAAATGCAACTTTGTTTTCCCTCTGAGTCTTAGGGAAAACACTAGGGCTTATGTCCCCCAAGGTGAAATGGCTGCAGAAGGCAAATCATGTGGCAAGGCCCTTGCTGACAATATTTTTATTTCCGCTCCCTAGAGTGAAAACTAAGGAGAACAAAGAATGGGGCGTCTACTGGTTTCTGAAAGTGACATACCCAATACACATGCGGCTGACTCTGTGCAGAGACAGTATCAGGTTTTTAGTGCATACAACAAAAATACACACCTATACATCTTTGGTCCTGTAAATGCTCTGTCACCTCTGAGCTAGTGTGAATTCTGCTAAAGAGAAACGCAGTCACAAGTGGACACCAAAACTATCTTATGCATCTGCACTTCCATCTGCTTTCGAAAAGAAGCCGGTACATGGTACAGAAGTGTTATATTAAATGTTAGCTACTTTTCCTCTTCTCCACTAAGTAGAGGTGCCTGTGGAATTAAATACCGCTTGGACTGAACGGGCAAGTAAACATTCGCTTTGCTATGGTTGTATATGTCTCCAGCTGAAGGAGTCTCAAACCAAGCAACAGAGCCAGACGCTGTCATTTTGGACCAGACAGCTGGCTGCGTTGATTCATTTGTTCTACAGTGCTCTGTTACAAACCACATACTCCTCCTTGGCTATCTATTTGTTCTGTTGGCTCCAGTTCCTTCTTCCATTGCTCCCAATGATATAACAGCCATGCAGTGTGTGATATACTCTATTTGCAGTGCTATGCAGCTCTGTAAGAGAGAGCCAAGAGGCCTGAGTCTGAGTCCAAGTGCCACTCCTTGCTGGGCAGGCTGCTGCTCGGCACATAGGCCAGTGCTGCGTGGGTAATGGAAGAGTTCCCAGATGCTTGTCTCCTGGGCAGGATGGTGCATGTTGTCAACAAGACCGACCTGATTGAGTTTCCTGTGCCTTGTCCTACTTTGAGTGTCTGCTGTTTTGAGCTGTGTTCCTCCCCTGTAGTAGTAACAGCAGGGGCAGCTCAGGAGTAATGGGAAGATGAGCCAGCTTGTGCTTGGCAAAGGGGGAATAGGTGTTGGGCAATGCAGTGCTGCTCTCATCGCCTCTGTTTTTCTCTTGCTTAGCTTTGGGGTCATCCCGAGCACCCCACTGGCCATTCACACACCTCTGATGCCAAACCAAAGTATTGACGTCTCCCTGCCCCTCAACACTCTGGGACCAGTCATGAAAATGGAGCCTCTGAACAACCTCCAGGTAAGGATTGTCTCATTCAGAGCAGTGCGGGGATCAGCAGGTGCTTAGCTCAGTTTGTTTGGCCCGACACAATGTGGTAAGACTCTAGTAACAGAATATCATGTGTATAGGGTAACCAGGCAGACCTCCTGGATTTGGGCCATGAGTCTGGCTGAAACTTCTTCCTATTCCCTTTTCTAGTGTCTCTTAGAAGGACTGAAGCAGAGACTTCTTGAATTTTGTGACTTTTGAAACACCTTAAACCCACTGCTTGCATGTAGATTAAGGTCTTTGCTCCAGTAACACTCTTCTGTAAACTGGGCATGAGGTTTGGTGGAGCTTATGAACTGAAGCTGTTCTGAACAGAGAAAGTGCATGCCTGTGGTGGAGCAGGCAGCGAGAGCTGTCAGCAAGAATTGAGGTAATTAAAGGGATTGCAGGAAAGATGGCAACTGCTGAGTGATTAATATTTCTCTAGTGCTCTTAACTTCCAGGGTGCTTTACAAAGGCATTGGCCCATCCCTGCCCCAGATAGCTTAATCCAAGGCAAATGAGATGTGTTCTAGGAAAAGCAGAGGAGAAATGACGTAAGCAGCTAATGTTCCATTAATGAGGCTGTTGGTGCACATCAGGGACAGCATTCTCTAGAAGAGGCCTTTTATCAGATTGGGCTGCCAATCTGATAAAGGCACGACAGATCCAGGGAGATGTTCTCCTCTGGTTTGGACCACAGACTGTCTCCGTCAGTCTTGGTGTGCCTCAGGGGCATTGGTCTTGAAGTACTCATCAGGCAGCCAGTTCTCCCTGGAAGGAGGCTCTTCCCCACTACTGCCATGTGCAGCCACTCTGTGGACCGGAGCTCAGAGAGTGACTCCTGGCTCTGCTCTGTGTAGCTGGGTCCTCCAGGATGATTTTCCCAGTATCCCAAAGATGTGGTTAACTTGCACCATAGCATGTCTCAGTCGCCTCAAGTCTCCACGAGATGTAACTAGGTTGGGTTCCTGTAGCGTAGCAGCCCATAGAGGGGAATGTTTTGAAGCAGCTCATTCTCTTTTTAGATTAAGAGAATGCAATGGAAGTTACTATTTATTCTGCCTGAGCAACTGTTTTTTTTCCCTTCTTTTGACTTCCATTCTGGGGCTTATGACTTATTGATGAGTCTTTGGGCAAACAGCTTGAAATAGCTTCTCTGGCGCTCAAACGAGCAGTCCTACACTCCGGCTCTGAGCTCAGTCATGCGATGGGGGAGCGTGTGGACAGTGAATGAATTACATGTGCTTGTCTTCCACAGAGGGCCCTTCCAGCTTGTGGAAAAGCTGGATTCCCTCTGCGTCCAGGTCATGAGGATGAGGTTGCATCACTGCATTTGGGTCAGCTGTGGTAAAATCTACCTCCTGCTCTGAAGGAAGCTTAGAAGTCTCTAGGAGGTGACGGTCCTGATCTGCCTCCATAACACTGGGGACTCTCTCAATGAGGCATTCTCAAGTTGCTGCTTCCTTTGATCAGGAAGGAAGTGAAGTATTTGGGTTATTAAATCTCTAAAGGAATCAGAACACAGTTTGTTTCTTGTAGCATCTTCTGCAAGAACAAAGCAAAGAGAAAACATGTGAGGAAACCTCCAGCTACCTTATATTGAGGCAGCAGAGCATTCATTAGTGCCAGACTTAGTTGCTAATTTGCTAGCTCTCTCATTGCCATAGAAGTTGGCTGCCCTTTTACAATTGGGGAAGCTGCCATATGGAGTAATAGTATATTTCTCTGCAAAGAGTTGAGTCATGATAGCAGATGCCAAGTTAAAAAGAGCACTCCCCTTACTTTTTTGACAGCAGTGGGTTTGATGGAGATCTGTCATTGCCCTGACAGCCAAGGCTCTGGTTTTGTTTTGTGAGTTCACGTAGAAATTATCTGTCTTGAAACATTCAGAAATCGTTTTGGTGACCTACTTAGGGAACAATTTATAGCATAATATAGGAGTAGAGAATACAAATGTTGCTGTATTCATTGAAGAACCAAAACACTCATCAAGTTGAATTTGCTTAATGCGGTTTTTCTGAGCTGGGGAACATTGAAGTAGATGCAGGACTGGTTTGAACCCCTGAGGACCTTATGTTCAGCTCTTATTCTGGTGGAGTTTTTTTGTTTTAGTAACAAGAAAAGTAAGTCCTGAAGTAACCAAACTGATAGCTTTCAACTTTTTGTCATGTTAATTAGAAACTTCAAAGACTAGTCGTACGTTCCTTAGGCAACTATTTCAGAAGTAATGAATTCAAGTCTTGTTCAGGTTATTTTTATTACCATTTCTAATCTTTCGCCCAATACAGCTGGTTTAATCTTAACATTTGTAATCACGCAAAGAAACTAAAATACTTGACAAGTTAACAAAAAAGCCATTTTTACAAGAAGATGAGGAAGACTGAAATATTTTCAGAGGCTCACTTAGGTAAAATATAACTGAAGAGTCTTCTGTTTGCCAGTCACCTTGCATCTTGTGATAATGAATACCAGCCTTCTCCCTCCCATCCCAAAGTAGTGATGATAATTTTCTTGACCTGTTGACTCAGATTCAACCCCCAGTCAAGCAGTGATTTATTCAAAGGATAAAACCAAAGTTAGACTTGACACAGCACTGTAGGCCTGAACAGACTCCAATCCCTGCTCTCTGGTTCATCTTTTTTACTTCTTACAGATTAAAAAGCTGCTGTCAGATGCCTTTGGAGTGTGCCTGTTACTAAAGAAAATCTGACTTAGTTATTTGTGCGCTGCTAACTTCTGCTGGGAGACACTCTTGCAGTGCCTTGTCAGCATTTCGGAGGCTACCTGGCACTCATGGGTGCTGTGGTCCCCCTGCCCAGAGCTGCCTCTGCAGAGCACAGCACTCGTAAGTGATAACAAGTTCTTGCCTAAAGGTGTGCGAGAGGCTGCATTGAGCTTCGAGTATTTGATAGCCGTGTCTCATTTGCCAGCCAGGGAGATGGCTGTAGTAGTTATATAGGCTTGCTTGGGTCCTGTAGTTGCCTTTTGGCAGCCCAAGGAGTGATACTCCTCTAATGACAGGTAGGCTATTAGGGTTGTACCTAGTGGAAGAGGTGGGGTGGGTGAGGTATCTTTGCCACCATGTGTGTGAGACCTTGGGCTCTCAAAGAGGAAAGTGAGTTCTGAAACAGGGGTTTGCATCGGTGAGGAATATTAACTCTTTCCAGATACTTCTTCAAGTCAAATTTGGAATAAGTGCCTGGGATGAGAACCTTTCTATGCTAAAGAGCACCACTGTTCCTAATAAATGGCCTTTCAAGGGCTGTGAAAGGCTGTGAAATCAGAATACCTGATTTGCTCATTTGGGTACATGAGAATTGCTCCCCTAACCCTGGAAATGGGTGAAGTGGAGCCAGCCTGCTGTGAGAGTTTCAGAGCTCAGGCCTGGCCTGTCATGGCACGAATATGATAATCTCTTCTGTGAGATGGTAACAACTTGCAGGAGACAATACAATTGAAAACAAGCTGCAGGGACTCCTGGAGCAGTAGCGAGTCTGCCTGAGCCTGGAGCATTGCCATTCTCTTGGGATCCACATTCAAAATTGACAATCAGTGTGTTGTGTTCCTCAGTGTTACCTGCTGTCAACTGCCAGGGCTGTTTGCAGCTACTGAGCATGCAACTGAAAGAAGCATAGCTTCAGTTTTCAAAAATGCCTGTAAAATGATCTGGCGAGTATTGAAAGGGAAGGATCTGCCAGCTGCATTTCTTCCTGAAAAGTGACACTTGGAAACACAGACCTCTCCCTTGCTGCTGAGCAGTGTGGGGTGCAGAACATTTTCATATCTTCCAATGAGTTTGGCAAAACATTGCTGTAAAGGCAGATGAAGGTGCAGCTTCTTCATTGAGAAAAGATCAGTCTTGCTAATGCACTAGATCATACTTACCCTTCTATGCTCAGTTCTGCTGTAACTCATCACCTGTGCTCCTCCACTCTTTGGTGTATCGCTTGCAATGCAGAACCACTGGAACTCTCATTCATCAGAAGTGTTGATGTATCTCAGGTCACAAATGCAGAGCTCTCGGTACTTGGAAACAGATTTCACACATTCAACTCTCGATAAAAACAAGGTTGAGAATCAGCGTAAGCAGCAAGTCCAGCCAGCAGATGTTCTCCCTTTAGAGCCTGCTTGATAAATGGCACAATATCTGCCTGTGTGTGAGCTGCGTCAAAATAACTGGACCAACCGCTGCAGAACAAGCTTGGGTAGTCAGATATGGAAGGTGCTTTCTTGGATTTGTTGCCTAGGTTATTTTTTCAACATCCTCTACTAGAGAGGGTCTTATTCCAGCAAAGAAGAGAACCCTCCTGGGAGCTCCCTGAATTAAGGACTCAGATCACAGCTTGGCATCTGCGGCCAGTTCCTATCTCAGCTGTGGAAAGCTGTTGGCTTGCCGATTAAGGGCAGGTCTGCCGCATGGTACAGCTCATTTGATTAAAATGTACGTTTTGAACTCCAAGTACAGCCAGGCACACATGAGAGCGTAACCCTCCCAGTAACTCGCTGTTCCCTGACGGTTGACGTAAGCGGCGTGCCTGGAGATGACAGCCGCAGCCAGGGGCGCAGCACCCAGCCTTGCTGTCTGTGCACAGCTCCGCTGCCCGGGCTCGAGACTTGTGCCTGTAGGTAGAGTATCTGGCTGGCAGCGGCTGTCAAGCGCCCGTAGGATCCTGAGAACCCTACCTGTCAAACAAAATGAAGTGAAGTAGCTAGCACTCCCTGGGGGCATCTGACAGCCAGAGCAGCAGACTGTCACAGAATAAACCGTGACCTTGTGCTGGCAGAGGTAAAAAAGACTCTGCATAGGAGAGTTCTTCTCGCCTTAACAGTTTGGCTGTTACCAGGCTCTAAAGCAAAACCCAACTTGAAGTAAATCCTTAATTTAGTGTAGGTGCTAATGGGATTCCAAGTGGGTATGTTGTGTACTTGCTGCTGATGGAAAGCATCTGTGTTGCTTTCAGACTTGACTTTGAAAGTCAGTTCTTATGCTCAAGTCTGGGATTTAAAGCATCAGAAACCTACACTATTGAAGAAAATAACTTAGCATTGTTCTTATGAGGTACCTCTTCCCCAAAATACCATGTGTGGGCTATCAGAGGGTTGCACTGCAAGAAAGGACAACAGAAGGGTGCTCATGCTTCAAGGTGAGCAAATATTTTCCAGGGATTATTTCTACAGGTGCTGCTTCCCCTAATCAGATCATGAACAAGACATAAGTGATTGGGAACCTTGTGCCAATTTTTAGTGGGTTCACACCTTTTCAGCAGTGAAGCATCCCATGAAAATCTGGCACCTTTTGACTTTATCCCTTGGAAGCTTTGACTAAATTCACAAGGTAGCAATATTACTTTTTTTTCCTCCTTTCAAAAAGATTGCTCATGGAAAGCCCTTTTTTACTTAAAGTGCTTCTGTTTATTCTATTTAAAATGTCTGAAACTGAAGATCTAGTTTAAGATTTAGTAGTTTGTGTCCAGGTCGGCAGGTTAAAGCTGCAGAGCCACAGGCAAAGTTAGTCTGGACTGGTGGATTTATTGAATGCAAGTGGAGGTTCCTTTCAAGCATGTCAAACCTGGAGAGACTTCTCAGCTACTGGTATCACTTTAGATGTCATTGATTGTCTCAGGCCAATGTTCCCACCTAAGGAGTGCTGGATTTTTTTGGCAAGTCACTGTTATTAGCTACTCAGTTTCTCATAGGCGCTGCTGTGGATCCGCTTTCTGCCTGCAGTTGCTTTTGTAGCCTATCAGATGGCATTGAATGCTCCTGATGTGGCAGTGCAAAGGTTGAAGCATGACTTTGGAAAGCTGTTATCAACTGGTCGGGCCTCTTAGCCTCTTCTTGGTGCTAGTTTCCCCATCCAGGTATCTGCAGGTACCTTTTCATGGACCAGATCTTGGGGACCACAGCACTAACAGTGCATACCTGGCTGTTTGGGGGAAATATGTGGTGTTGCACAATGAAAGCTAGTCTTTAAAAGCTTACCAGACTTGTCCCAGTGCTATAGGTTTAAAGAGACTGTAGCATTTTCCTTTCCTGTTTCCAAAAATGATTTGTAACAGCTGGTTTCTGCATCATTACAGATACTTGCAAGGTGACACGTGATGTCATTACTGAACCCAATGATGCAGTTTGGGAGGAAGGCTGGCGTGTGGCTTGCTTTTCTTTGCTGGGAAGAAATTGCACTTCAGAGCATCTTAATTGGGTAGCTCTCCAGAGTATAGCCAAAGCAGCTTACTCAGTATGTTTCTGCAGAGTTGAGAAGCAGGTCAGCAGATACCTTTTTATAGCATTCTTATAACTGTAGGGACAGGGTTAGCATATTAATTTGGAGTGTGCCTCTAGAACTGTGACTGGAGAGAAGGCACTGCTTTCCAGCCCTTCTTGTAAGAAACTGCTGTTGTATGGCAACAACAATTAGCTACAAAAGCTAAGTAATCTCTGTTGTTCTAAGGCAAGGCAATTAATCATTAAATCGGCGTTGGAAAGATCTTAGGTCACACAGTGTAGTCTGTGCTATGCTTTGTTGTTTTGCTACAGTTCCTCTTATTGAGAGCATTGTCAAGCCTGATTTTAAATACTCCAAGCACGGAAGCTTCTGTCTTCCTCAAGAGAATCTTTTGCTGCTTAATAATTCTCACTACCAAGTTTTCCCAGACGTTTAACCTAAATTTTCCCTCTTCTGGCTCATCTCCATAACTTATATCCAAGCATAGCGTCTGGAACGGCTACACTGCTGTCCCTTCCCCAGCTCTTCCCTCCCAGACTCAGAGGTGCATTTTTGGCTACTCACCCAGTCTGTTCAATCACTTTTGCAGAGGTGAATCAGCTAAGTCCATCCACCAAACTGCTTTTTACCCCTCTAGCTTTGGTGCCTCTAGCTCAAACACTAGACATTCCAACTGTGATGCCAGTGATGTCAGCAATCAAAGCAGGTAACAGCTCCCTATTACAGAGGATGACTTCCTTTTTTTTTCCTAGGTTGCACCATCATTTACATGGTTTTACTGGGCTTTAAACTAATCCCTTCTTAAGCTGGTTTGCGCTGTGGGAATTAAATATAAGCTGCTACCTTTAGTGATGGCTGAAAGTAGAAACCCCACAGACTGTCACATCTACCTTTCTGCTGTCCTTTGCACTTCTGGGACCTTCCCAATTGCTAGAAGAGTTTGTTCAGGAGCTTGATCTCCTACCACTTGTCCTCTGGCTTGCATGCATGTCTAATCAACTGACTTGCATTTGAATTCTCTGGTTTATTCCCCTCCCTTGTCTATCTGCAGCTGTTTTTACTGACATTTGGGGATGTCTTTCTAAACCTGCCACTATGGGACAATAGATTTTCTCAGCAGGACACTAATATATGTAATTATTGATGTGAATGGAGTTTGTCTTGGCATAAGTCTTTGTGGCAGCAAATTTATTTCTTTGGCTCAGCATTTAGCATGGTCTGGTTTGTGTTTCAGCTGGGTGACAAATCAGAGAATTCCTTCTGAGATTTTTCAAAGTAGCAGCTCAGGCAGCTCTTGAAATTCAGGGCTCCCCACAACCTCAATTCTAGGTCTCTCTTACAGGCTGTTTCCTTCGTTGCGAGCAATGGCAGGTGTCTGCTGAACTGTACTCCCATGACAGGCTATTGCTGTGCGGGATGATGTGAGGAGAGCGTGAGAGGCATAGAAATAAAGCCCAGAGCTACCTTTTTCTGTGCTATATTATGACAGTGCACTTTCTCAGACCTCCCGTTTGCTCCTGCTGTACCGTCAGCTCTCAGCCTGGGGAAAACTGAAAGTGAGGTTGCTCTGTGTTAGCAGAGATTAGTAGGTAATGTGGCAAGCATGTGTGATAAAAGGCAATCCAGTGCATCTCCCTGGCTGGTGGAGTTTAATGACACTGAGAATTAAGCCTTTTGTCAAGTGATCTTTTTTTGCCTGCCTTGATTGCTCTGTAGCAGGGCTTTCTTCCAGGAATCAACACACTGCATGTGTTTGCTATATAGCTTTCACTAAGGTAAAGGCAGGAGACTTGGGAGATGCTGCAAGAAAGGTGCAGGCCATAGATGTACTTCAGGCTTTTTAGAAAGTGTCCAGGGCTGAGACAGGACTAATCAAGGAGGTGAAAAATAAAGAAATGGGGATGAAGATAAAGAATATGCAGGGGTTTGAAGCTGGAGAATTACAAGAGTGAGATAGCAAAAAGGGATGATGAAGAAGCTCTTGTACAATATGACAGACATGATGGTAGCTGTGTGCAGCCAAGAGGTATGAATGCACCTCGGCGGTGGAAGAAGTGAGTGAAGGGAGAGGCTGAACAAGAGCAGAAAAGAGCAAGGATGCTGGCTGTGACCCCATCAGTGCAATTGGCTCTGAAGCAGTGTGGTGAAATGCTCACAGGAGAAGACTGAGCAGCTTTTAGTGAAAATGGAGTGAGCACGGAGGGGCGGGACTGATCCTTGTCTGAAAATACCTGGAAGCTCAGTAACATCTCTCCAGGTTCAGACCTGGCTTCTGCTTGGAGAGAGAGTCCAGGGTGCGCAGGCAGGCAATGAGGCTGTGCAAAATCTTGGGTTCCCTTTGGACTTCCAGCTGATAGAGATGCTTTAACCCCCTTTGTTTCTTCTATAACAGGTGGCTGTGAAAAACAACATTGATGTCTTTTACTTCAGCTGCCTAATTCCTCTCAATGTGCTTTTCGTAGAGGATGGCAAAATGGGTGAGTGCTTTTAGGTCTGTGGTCAGCTTTCTTCAGCCAGACTGCTTGCAGCGCCCAGCTGGGTGCAGTTGTCCCATGGCTGAGATTCACGTGTGCTTGGCCATGACCTTCATGCCAGTGCATCTCAACAGCCTGAATTGATGTGGTTTGATAGCCTGTCCCTGTTGTCCTGCAACTCCAATAGTTACCAAAACCCAAGTCCTCTGCTCTGATTCTCTCTGTAAGACAAGGGGTGGATCTGTTTTCTTTGAGGCTGATTTTTGGGGGTTTGTTTTGGCTTTTTTTTTTTTTTTTTTGAGGGTTTGATTCACTCAAATGGGTCTAGGATTTGCCCCCATACCACTTTCACTGTAATTCGTGTATTCCTGGTCACCTTTATTAAAGTGTTGTTGGAATTGGCTGGGAAGTTGCTTGAAAAGCAGCTTTTACTAACATAATCCTAAATGTGTGGATCTCCTTCCTTCTTGTCAAATCCTGCCTGTTCTTGGTTTGTAAACAGCGCATATGGTAAAGACTGTCTCTGGTTTGGGGGTTCCAAAAACCATCAAAGCTTTGCTGCTTTTACAGTGAGACTGAGGTTGTTATAGGAGCAAATCCTGGATCTGTCCACGGCAGGGCAAAATGTGACTAAATGCTCTTTTGTGTGTCTACCTTGTAACATTCTGCGGTGAATTAATTAATGCTACAGTCCTGTGAGGATCCAGGAGTGCTGATCGTCTTTCTTGTTTCTAGAGCGCCAGGTCTTCCTTGCAACATGGAAGGATATTCCAAACGAAAATGAGCTTCAGTTCCAGATTAAAGACTGTCACCTGAATGCTGGTGAGTAGCTTAATTCTACCACGCTGAGAGCACTTCTGATGTACAGTCACTAGACATCACCTTATGAACAGCATTGTCTATGGCTAATGGATAGATGGGTATTGCACTTATAAACAGAACGGCCTTGGATCCTAGGGCTTGTTTCAGTCAAAAACTTCAGCTGGGTCCCCGTAAAAGCACATTTAAAATCCCAGATCTTAGACTTTACCTACTTGTTTCTTCCTTTCATTCTGGATATTGTATTCTTGTTTTCTCTTTCACACTTTGCTTCTCTGCAAAACTGCTCTTTTTAAATAGAGCTGAATATGGTGTTGGGGCTGTTCAGCAATCTTGTCCTGCTACTGTGTGTTTCAGGCAAAGTGTTCCAGCCCTCACTAACCTACTGCATAATCCCGGGCCAGTCACTTCACCTTTCAGCATCTGCTTTCTTCTTTCTGTTGTGAAAGAGTAACCCTACATACACTATAAAATGTTTTGACATCTGTGGAGGACAGGCCATGTGAGAGAGAGTTTTGGTCTGCTGCTGTTAGCTGATATATTGATGTATTTTGATCATAGTCTGTCCCATTCAGCTCTGTGTTCATCTGTCTAGTTGCCTCTCTGAGCATCCTGCTTGTACGTATGACCTTACTACTGCTGAAGGATGAGGGAGTGTAAAAAAAAAAAAAGTGGAATGGGGCCAGCATAGCAGCTTTGCTCCTGTTCAAGAGGTTCTGGGCAGGAGCCAAGTGATTCTACCAAAAGCTGCTATGCTTCACAAAGGAAAAAAGTGTCCCTATTGATTACAAACTCCGTAACCTTTTTATTCTCTCATGTCTGCTATTACACAATGAACACTCTCTTGCTTCAGTTGCAGACAGAAACCATGGGTCTCTTTGTACTCATAATTATTACTATTTTGGAATGTAAAAGATGGAGCACGCAAGAGGGGAAAAAATAGCAGCTGTTGGACCTTATGACTTGATTTCACTGTGGGGTTTCAAGTGAGAACAACCTCTGTGCCTCCCCCAGTCCTCCCTCTGCTCCCGACCGAGCTTGGCATAGCCTCTCCCCCTGCACTGCAGTCCTGCTGCCGGTAATGCCTTCTGCCTTTGCCATGCCCTGACGGCACTGTCCAGAGCTCTTTACATCTCCAATCAGAAACGTTGGTAACTTCTCGTGTTTGGCACTGGGGTGTTGCAGTGCTGGTTAGCAGGGGTTGTCATTGGGGGCAAAGGTGGGGTCTGGGAAGATGAGCACTGGTAATCCTGCAGCCTGGCCTGTGTTCCCTTCTCCCTCTGGAAGAAAACGTTAGAAAATGTGGAGTGACAGGCAATGCTCCCCATTCAGGGAGGTTTTGCCAGCTCAAGACCAGATTGCTTGCTCAGGCCTGCCTGAACTGGTGATACTCAGTGGAGAACATGTTACTAGCTCACAGGGAGAGCACGGGAATGCCAGGCAGTTTCTCTGCTGTGGTATCTGCAGCCATTCCCAGGACTCAGGCGAGAAGAGGCATCTCTTGGTGCTTTAGCCAGAGCCCTGGACGCAGTGCCTCTCCCAAGCACAATCCGTCACTCAGGATGCTCGGGGGTGTGCAGGATCTGCCAGCCTCTTTGGCTTATGTGCGGTAGAAAGTGGGTCATGTCTCATAAACAGATTTCAAACACTTCCATCCGCTGAAGCTTCTGGTTTTGTGTTTCCGCTGCTGACACCTCCTCCCTCTTGTGACTATACTGGCCGTTTCCTTCCTTGACCACCTGGGCTTCGGCACAGAGCAGGCCAATAGCTTGCAGGAGGGAAAACTAGGGAAATCTTGTGTGCTTGTCTTAGTCCCTTGTATTTTAACTACCAATGCAACCCTGACTCAGTCTGCTGCTCAACTTGATTTCATCTAAGCAGTAACCTCCTCTAGTACAGGCCATCCTAACAGCATCAAGCCTCGTCTGTCCAAGGATCAGCCAGATCCCAAACCCTGTGGAGGGCTGGACTTCCAGCATCCTCAGGGATGGAGACTTCTCACAACATGGCAAGCGGCTAGTGGTGCACACCAGGGCAGAGGTGAAATAAGCTGAATGAGCTCTGATGACAGTTGAATCCATCTTGCTACTAGTTTATACCAGAGCAAGGGTGCGTGTCTGGCCATATGCTGCGGTAGGGCGATAGTCTTTCAAGGTTCACAATCTTGATCATTTAAATCCAGTGAAAACAGCCTTATTTTAAGACACCTCCTTTCTTCCAAGAATAGCAGCTCTGAGCATAAAATCTTTAGGAACTTGATCCTTGTGGAGGAGAGACTGGTTCATGTTCAAAAGACTCTCTGGTAGGAGATGCTTAACCAGAATAAAGCTCTCGACTTGGGCTGTCGGCAATTCTATTGTTCACTGATGAAATACTGCCGCGTGCAGCTCTCATATCGCTGCGTAAAATAAGGTACACAACGGCTGCCATGGCAGAGCTGCGCAGAACAAAGTCTGCAGATTTCTACGGCTCCTTACTAAAACTTAGGGGGTGCTGGGTTTTTGCAACCCTTCGACACAGACGAAAAGCTTCTAAGCGCCACCGGCTCTGCAGAGGTGTGCAGCCACAGTGTGAATCGTTATGCCTCCTCTCGCATCCGCTCGGATAAGTAATTCATGCCTAACGTGAGCCCACCCACTGGGTGGCGAGTTGCTGTTGAGGCTCAGGGATGCATCGCACCATTCATGCTTCGGTCTAACCGATTCCGGCCCAGTGACGCGAATTTAGCTGTGAGCTAAAAATACCTCTGCTCCCAGCTGATGTGCCCTAATCGCAGCGCTACCAGCCACTTAAATAGAGCCGCACGGCTGCAGCAGGCGTCGGACAGATGGAGCAGAGCGTGCCGAACAGCGTGCGGCTGCTGCTGGGCAGAGAGCTGATCAGACCTGTGGTCCCTGCACCCTCGGTGCCTGGCTTTTCTTCTCCTAGCTGCAAAGAGCCTTCACTTTCCTAAGTGCTCAGATCCGTGCTGTTTCTGCACTGCGTGAGAAGTGGGGCTGAAGTTACGTGCAGATATGCAGGAGGCCCTGCTGAGCAGCTAAACAGGGGATGCTGATTTTCTTCAATGGAGAAACTGAAATGTGAATTTCTTTTTCTTTAAACCAAAGTGAAATGAGCTTGGAACAGGGGGTTTTAGGGGGCTGGGATTTTATCTGTCAAGAAAGCAGTTTGTGCATTTCTTGCACATCCAGGGTTGGCTGGCTGTCACTGTGCAAGTCGCCTCACAGCACCTCCTGTGTAAACTGCAGGCTTTTCCCCAGGTAATTTGTTTTGTTCCTTCAAACAAAAAGGAGATAAACAGTCCAGCAGTGGAGATACTTCTGAGTGAGTCTGTGCTCCCAGGCCTTTGTAGGTAAAAGGACCATCCTGTGCCCATGATGCAAGCCAAATAGGATTGACTTGAGCTTTGATGGTTTGCGACGGGGATGGCAGAAAAAGCTCCTATCCCTGGCAGCTCACCCCATAACAGGGCATAGAACAACCAGAAAATCTTGGCTGCTGTGGGTAGCCCATGGTACCACAAGCTGAAACCTAGGATAAGGTGCCAGGCTGTGGGCTGAGGAGCAGGTACCCTTAAATGGTCAGAACTTGCCACTCTGATCCTTGTCTCCAGCATCTTTGTTTCAAAAAAAACCCAACAAACAACAACAAAAAAACCCCATCCCCAAACCCAAGTCCTGGACACTTTAAAGTATTCCCACGATTCCCAGTTACTCGGTGAGAGATGAGTGTTTAATTCTGGACGAGGGATTTGGGGCTCAGGTTCCCAGCGGTGAGAGCTGGCACTGCCCTGAGGCTGTTCTTTAGGGCTGGAGCGATATGGCTGTGAAGGAGCAGGTCTCTCTGGACTTGTATCATGGGGCCAAGGTGTACTTAAGATGCACTGCACATGATGAATTCATTAGAGCTGTTTCATGCATCTATCTGCCTCTTAGCAAGAGGTTATGATAGTTCCATGGAGAAAACCTTATTCAGAAATGCAACTTGTAATGAAAACACAAAGTCCTTGTTATACCCCAGCATTCTCATCTCTTATGAATCCAGTGCTAAATTAATTGATTTTTGAGTTTTTAATGAAAATATAATAATCTAGTGCATGAAAACAAATTCCTAGACTGTTATAGCTCAAATAATCAGGGTACTGTTGGTACAACTATACCAACTGAGGTTTCCCCTGCAACTGAGCATGTGCTAAAGCTCAGTTTGCCTTGTTTACGCAGATTTTTCAACATCCTAAGTTTGATTAAATTTTAAAGGACCACTACATTAAGCTAAGATATGCAAATCAGATTAGCTAAATGTTTTTCCTTTTTAAAATTCTGCTTACCCAAACCCACAGAGTGAAAGAGGACAAGCTGACTTGCACATGGAGATTGAATGCCATTAAGCAGGAGGCAATTAGTTGCTGTGCTGTTCAGCAGTTCTAGGAACTTTGGTTTTGCTTGCTTATTACTGGTCCCCAATTTGCTGTGAAACAACAACTTTGGTATTCGGAGTTAAATATGGCTTTATTGATATGCAGTGGTCACTTTGTTTCTCTCTGCCCACCCCACCCCCCCCACCCCGCCCTGAGTAATTTGCTAATGCTACAACAAAGACAAATTGGATTTTCTTGCTCTAACAACCTGGGGGACAATCATACGCAAGCTTCCTTGGTATGGGGGGGGGGGGTTCTGTATGTGCAGTATGGTTTTTTTCTGTATGTGCAAATCTAGTAACCTGATTGTTTAATGAATTGTAGAATCCATGCATATTACATGTCTTGGAAATGAATGTACAGTCATAATATTGACCAAAGTGCCTCCCCGCTGGATCAGAGTATGCAGATGCATTTCGTATTTGAATGCAGTTCTTGGCTGGATGCTCAGAACCATTCAGGTGTTGCTAGAAATGGCGTGGGGATGTTTTCAGCTACCACGGCATAAAATATAGTCATTAAATTTTACTTCCTGAGATCCAGTGCTTGTTGCAAAACGCCACGGAGGTCCAAGTTCAAAAAAGGTATATTGTCGATGTTGATTCTGAGTTGTGCGTGTCCTCTGTGAAAACTCCTGTTATTGCCAATTGGTCATCTTGTCTGTTTGAGTTCAGAAGTGACATTCTTATGGTGTATGGGTAGAAGATTTAAGCATGTCCTTCGCTTTGTCCAGAAGGAAAGTGCCGTTGAAAAGAATTGGATTACTTCAGTGCAAGGGAAGAGGCCTGGTGTGGTTGTTCTTTCCTGTGTGCCTGTGTTTCTATGTGTGCTATTTAATTGTTGGACTGAGGTAGGGTAAAGAATTCTGCTTAAAAAGCAAAAGAAAAGAAAAAAAACAAACAAAAAACAACTAAAAAACCCACCAAAAAAAAAAAAAAAAAAAAACCACACCAAAAAAACCCCCAACCCTGAAAGATGGACTGATGTCAGAGGCTTTCCTGGCCTTGGTGATGGGGGAATCTTTCTGTATCCTTATACTGTGCTTCAAGAGGGTTTTGAGAATAATCATTGAGCCAAAAGAAAAAGCCTTGCGGAAAGTTGTTTAGCAAGGTCAGATGTAGACTGTGCCGTCTTGCAGAAGGACTCGTGTGGCTCCGGTTTGCAGAGTCACCAGACTCCACGTGTGCGGGGAGACGTGTGCCCAGGCAGTGCGGCTCAGCCCTCCTCCTGCCTGCGCTGGGCACTAACCAGGGCTTCGGTGGGCGCTGCGCTTTCGCTCGGAAACCAGCAACCCTGTTCAGAACTGGCCTTAGCTCTCTGCTCCCAGCAAATATCTGCCTTTTTTTTTTTTTTATTTTTTTTTTTTGAAAGGCTGTGCTGTCACATGGCATTAGCGGTCCTGCCTTCAGCCAGGCACAGCCTGGCACTGTTGCTTAGCAACTCTGCCGGATCTCCGAAATCCAAAATCCTGATACTTGGGAACACAGGAGGGATGGGAGCTGCTACCTGGGGGGAGAGGGGGTAGAGTCTCACCAGTCCCCAAACCAGTGCTGAGAGAGGGGGCAGGAGGAGTCAGGCAAGCCAAGCATCAGCACTCCAGCCTGCTCACAATTGCTCTGGGTGTCTGGCTGAAAGAGGGTATGTTTTGGTAGGGTTTCTTGTATTCTTCAGAGGGTAACTGAGGTCAGACAGGGAGGCAGAAAACAGGCTTTCTTAGGAGTTGCCCTGCCTCAGTTTCCCTCCCTGTACCCCTCTACAAGCACACCCCTGCTCAGAAATCTTCCCCCAGCAGAGGTAGTGGCTGTTTAAATTGCAAGAGGTGCCATGGCACGGTTGAAGGCCTTGGTGTAAGAGCAGCTGCTCTGCGGCCCCGTCTTGCCCCTGTGCCCCCAAAGCACAGCTCCCCAGGCAGCAGGAGCGCTCCCCCCCTCTGCCGTTGCACCGTGTGATGGGATAGCAGCCCCACAGCTGCCAAAATTACAGCTTCCCACTTGCAGCCTTGCTTCTGACCCTGCACCCAGGCTCCCTGGGGAATGCCTTTGCTCTGATAGCATACCCCAGCGGAGGGGGAGACTGCTGCCGGCAGATATAGAGATTGCTAGAGAAAGTCTCGAACCCTTGCCAGCAGTTCCACTTCCAGGATACGAGTCCAGAGGGGCTTCAGATCGGTGAGATTTAACCACAGCCTGTTAAAATTGGGCAAACAAAATCACATTTAATACCAACATCCCTTGCAAACAAGGACGCGCTCTCCGAGCCGGCGCTTGCATTAAACACCGTGCCTTCGCAAAGCCCCAGAGGCTGCTCTCGCCGGCTGGGAGGGCATGAGGAAATGGGATTTTGGGCTTCATCCCTAGTGGGTGATGTCCTTCCAGCGCGGGTCTCTCCCAGCCACGCTCCCTGCAAGGAGGAGACTGCTCTGCCTCGCCCGTTTCCCTAATCTGGATGAGTTTATTGTATAGAGGAGGAGTAGAGGTGGGAGGAGGAGACAGAGGGAATGAGGGTTTTTAAGCAAAGGATCTCATTAGTTACTTATATCTGCTGGTTTCCATAGTAACTGGGGAAGAGAGGAAACCTAAATCTGAGTGTGTCTGGGTAGCTGGATGCCTGAACCCTCCTCAACCTGCATGGAGCTGCTTTGAAGCCTGGGGAGCAAAAGGGTTCAGCCCAGCCATGGTTGGAGGGTCCAGGCTGCCCATGGAGCTGCTCCGCAGCTCTGGTTATCAGCACTGCCCTTGCGAGAGGCAGCGGGTCCAAGTCTCTGCATCAGTGTATGGATTTTTGGGGCCTTTTTCTTTCCTGCTTCTACCGCTCCCTGGTGTGTGAACAGACTCTGCTGTCCCCTCTCTGATCCCTCCATGCACCAGCACAACTTGTGTCCATTCTCAAATCCAGCACTGATGCCAGCAGATCTCGGTGTTTCAGGGATGGATTAGAGCTGCACGGTCGCTTTGTGCTGCTTCTATGCTGCTGTCCTGCTCCTCGCGCTCCTTGAAATGGATCCCACGTTTCCAGTCGCTTGGCTTTCAGTGCAAATTGGGTTAAGGCCACTTCTCTCCCTTGCTTTCTGTTGAAAGTGCCTAACCTGCTGATAATGGCCCAGCATAGACAGGGTGTTCCACCCAGAGCTCTCCAGCAGAGAGCTTGAACAAGTTAAATTTCTCTTGTTGGGCACCAGGAATGGTAATTTGCCAGTGATGCTTATCAAGTGTGGAGTCCTCCTCCCTGAGCCTTCCACCCAAAGTGCAAATGTGCCCCTTTTACTGGCATCAAAAGACTGAGGCTTGCTCTGCTCTGTGCTGTGCTGAGAAACCCCTTGGCATCTAGAAGCCGCTGGTTTGGGTCTTTGTGTTCTGCATGTTTGCCTCTGTTCTTGTTTCTTTGAAAGGTCCCTTAGAAGTAACGTGTGTCATGGTTACATCCATACAGGTCTCCAGGTGAAATCACACATCTTCTGCAAGTGCTGAGGTTATACACTGTATTAAAAGTGTATCGCAGCCCTGTGATGTCTAGAGACAGATGTCTGTGGGTTTTTATCCTTTCAAGCAATTGCTTTAAAGAAAAAAAAAAAGGAAAGGATTTTTACTACCTTGTAGAACATTGGTTTGGCCAGGGGTGTCTGTGCGTGAGAGGGGGGCAAGCAGGAGGGAGCCGTCGTGGTCGGGACAGGACCTCAGAAGCAAGCCTCAGGCAGTGATCTTTGTTCTTCTCCACCTTTGTCTTCTGACTTTTGGCTGCCTCCAGGTTAGCCTGCCTGGGGCTTGTTGGGGTTTATAGATAGAGCAGAGTCCTTTTACCCTCTGAGCTGCAGACTCTTGCCTTGATAAAGGCAGCAAGTCCTGAGTGACCCAGAGCAGTAAGCAGTAAGGGAAAGCCTTGCAAGGTGGGCAAATACTTCACAAGGGATCACAGCCTGAAAGGAATGAGGTGGGTCCCTGGAAGCAAGTTGGAATTTTTTCTCCTTGTGTCATGTCTGCTCCTGTTCCCAGGGAAAACTCTAGGACTGAAATCAGCGTTTCCTTGTGTGCTTGCATCCTGGGAACGCTCCTCTGGGCTCTCCTGTCTTCTCAGATGATGAATCTGAATTAACAGATGTGGTTTTCTTTCTTCTCTCCAAAGACACTGTCTCCAGCAAACTGCAGAACAACAATGTCTATACCATTGCCAAGAGGAACGTGGAGGGCCAGGACATGCTCTACCAGTCTCTGAAACTCACCAATGGCATCTGGATCTTGGCCGAGCTTCGCATTCAGCCAGGGAACCCGAACTACACGGTGAGGTGTCGGACTGCGGAGGGCACGTGGCGCAGGCTGGGATCCTTCTAACTCGCCTTGCATGCAGAGCGATTTCTCCCTGCTTTGCCTAACGTGCTTGTTTTGGGGGAGATCCTGTTAATTTGACTGAGGGGTTAGGAAGGCCCACGGAACTGGAAAGAAGTGAGAAACAACAGAATTGCACTGCTCTGTTACCAGTGAGCTGGGATAGTGCCCACTCAGCAATGAGCAGTTACTTGCCAAGGTTACCCAGAGATAAAGCCAAGAGACATTAGCGAGAAAGCATTGCCAGGATGCCCTTCCCCCTCTCATAAACAAGGAGAAATTTATGCCCTGCTGCGTTCCTGCAGCGGAGACCGGCTGTCTGGATGTCAGAGGCTCTTTGGCCTTGTGCTGGCATCAGCCTATGGCTGGTGAGAAGGTGCTGTCTGTCCTGCATTGTGCACCTGTATAGCTATTCCCTTTGCTCCCCTGCTGAGGACCTGTGTGTCCGAGCATCCTGGTATTAGAGGATTTATCTCCTGTTGGAAGCTGTTCCAGGAATTTCAAGAGAAATCCATGGTCTGGGGACCTGCGGGGTGAAAGCGAGTGCTGGAAGATGATTTAAAGTGTTTGCACAAGGATTGGTGCCGCAAGCCTCATCTCAGCCTGATCCTTGCTTTAGAGAGGGGTGACGGCCAAGTTTGTGTCTGTCAGGACTGAGCAGCAAATCATTAGAAGCCCCCAGGTTTAGTGCTGTGATTTACAACGTGAGGGCAAGTAAGCCCCTTGTCTCGGAGTTTGGGGCAGTGTCCCCTTCTTTCATGCCTGCAGAGGCACCTACATTTGTTAAGGGATTCGGGAACCCCACAGTGGGAGTTTGCTTTCATGTATCTCCTCCTGCTTGTAGCAAGCTCCGAAAAGGCAGTTTGGTGTTGGTGATGAAGATAGCAGTACTCAGGAGAAATATTCTGGGTGACTGTCATGAGCCACATCCATGATCTGTCCAACCCATGCTGTAGGTCAGACATTTCCAGTTGCTTTTGTGGAGATGGTAGAAAGCTCCTGCCTTCCTTTGCACCACTGCTAACCTCTCCTCTCTTCTCCGCAGCTCTCCCTGAAATGCCGAGCTCCCGAAGTGTCCCAGTACATCTACCAGGCCTACGATGCCATCTTGAAAAACTAACAGGAGATCAGCCTGTGCCTCACCCTGCAGAAGGAGGGGGGAGAAAGGGGTCCCCAGATCCTCCTTCACCACTGGCGCGGGGAAAAGCACTCTTAACTGGAAGCAGCTGTATTCATGTGTAGGATTTCAGTCAAAGGCACTGATTAAACAAGGTAGCAATTAGTATCCACGTGCTAATGATGATAGGGAACAAACCCCTTTGATATTTTTAGCGTCCATGGAGTTTGTAACCACTGCTTCAACTACTCCCACGTCCCCCTTGCCCCTCACTCGTTGTCCGTTCTTGTGGGCTTCTCCATTTTGTGCCAATGTTCGGTGTTTTCTAAATGGCTTTAGGCGTAGTTACAATTTTGTAAAATACCGCTCATTGAAAAAAAAACAAGCAAAAACCACACGTCGGCTCATTAAAACAAGGCAAAAGTGTCGAAAACATAACACTGCACTTTATTTTATATTTTTATACTTTTTTTTGAGTTTTTCTATTGTAATTGGCTTAAAGGGAAGGTGATTCCAAGGAAGTATTGGGAGCCCTGCAGGGACGTCGGGGCTCTAGCAGGGTGAGCACGGCCTCGGGGAACTAGGAACAGAGCCATCAGTTCGGTCCGTGGAGGCGGATGGAGCCCTAAAGAGAGGGGGTTTTTTATTACACTTGTGCTGGCAGACTCAGCTCTGCTTTTTGATGGTGTGTTTTCACTCCAACCATCTCCCTGGCTCATTAGCTGCTGATTTGAGAAGTGAGGCTGCTTTTGCGTGGGGAGGAGCTGCAGACCTAGATTGGTAACGGGACAGCGGTGGATGAAATGATGGAAACGAGCCCTCTCTTAGAGCAAACGGCCGTTCCCAGAGCTCCAGGTATGGTCTCTGCATCCTCACCCGTCCCCAGCCCCTCTTCTTGTTCTTTCCGTGCCTGCTATGGCCAAACTGCCTTCTCGGCCATCCTCCGAGCTGTGCCACCTTCACCTGGCACTGCACTAACCCCTGGCAATCCCCAAGGCTTGCGATGGTAAATCTGAACATGGCAGTGCTGCTTCCTCGCCACGGCTGTGGGCATCAGCCATGCCCCTATGGAGAGGGGCTGCTGCTGGCAGTGTCCCAGGGTGCTGCGGGTACTTCAGCAGCTCTCCCTGTTCCCGTGCTGTCTCCCAAAACCGAGGCTGTGGTGTGATGGGAGATGCTTTGGGCTTAGTGGTGTTTGCACCCTGCCTGCCTAGGGGCTTCAGGTCCTGGCTCGGCTGAGAGTCGAGCAGATCGTGGAAGTGTTTCTTCCAGTTGCAGCTTGGCTCTTTGTGCCCAGAGGTACACGGTAACAAGGGCCAGTCGGGTTCCTGCTCTCACCCCCTGTCCCAAGCAGCCCCATGCCCTGGCCCCTCTTTTCCAACCTGTCCTTAGGGCCAGGACTGCTTCCCTTTCCAGTCCCTCGCTGTGGACTGACCACATTGCAACCACTAAGTGCTGCAGCAACAGCAGTGAAAGCAAAGCCTCTTGCATGTCCTTGCTCCATCCATAGCTTGTCCTGCTTAAACCAAGCCACTAACCAGAACGGCTTCACTCTCCCCAGCATGCTTTGATGCTATCTCCTCCCCAGCGAGCAAAGCTCTTATGCATAGCAACCCCCACGTTGTCTTTTTAGATGCCACATTCAAAGTCAATAAATGTTATACGGTGGGAGATGGTTCATCAGGGCTTTGGCACTGTCTGCAACCAAGAAGCCAGTGCTGAGAAAAGGTCACAGTGCCCTGGAAAAGACTCCAGCAGGGCACAGGAGCTGCAGGACCCTGAGGAAGGTGGTGTCCCAGTGTAGGAACCCCCCGTGCTCTGGCTGAGAAAAAGTGGGGCAGAGCTGGAGCAATTCAGCCCTTGAGCCCTGCCCACGTGTGCTGGGAGGTGATTTGCTCCAAGCCCTGCGGGTGCACCGCAAAAATCATTAGTAGAGCAATTAAGGAAGCACCAGTGGCACTGAGTGCGATGCTGTGTCGGGGCAGGGAAGAGATGGTACAGGGTCAGGAACAAACACTTGAGCCTCCTCCACTAAACAACCAGTGTAGGTTCGACGCAGGGAGGGGTTGCTGAGCACCCCTTTCTCTTGCCAAATTTCTTCCCGGCTTTTCGGGCGCGTGGGTGTTTCTGCGCTGCAGGGCAGAGCCTGGGCTCGGTCGGTGGCCTTTCGCCCGCCTCTCCCGCCGCGCCGCTCGTTCGAGTGTTCGCCGCGTAGTTGTGTTGCTCTTCAGGCTTTACCTGCCGTCCGCGTCAATAAACTCATTTCCATGATGCTGTGGCTGTGCGTGGCTCTGTGGGGCCGGGGAGAGGATCCAATTTTCCTGCTTTTGGTCCTGCCCATGGGAGCAGGCAGTGCTGAAGGCTGGATTTGGTGGAAAGGAGGCTGTTTGCTCACCGAGAGCCTGTTGTCCTCTTCACCAGCCACTTCTCTTCTACAGTGGAGACACCCCAAAATAGGGGCTTGCAGGGTGAGGAGGTAGCAAGTGTCCTTGGTCCTCTGCCTCTGGCTGTTGCTGTCGTCTTATCTTGAAGGGCAGCAGGAAAAGGGTCCTGGCTTGCAGGGGGCACTGGCACCTTGGCACAGACAGCCTCTGCTGAGGAGCAGAAGATGGATGTACCCATTTAGTCCTTTCTGGGCCCTAGGTGGGCTGTGTGTAATGTGACCCTGCGGTGAAATGATAAAGTTGTGTGAGTCGGTGATGCATTTGGGTTGCTCTGGTCTGGTGCTGGCATTTCCCAGAGGGTTTTGCCATCATTGGTCCTGTCTCAGGCAGGATGGATTGGGCTGCAAAACCGCTGTACTGGGTCAGAGCCAAGCTCAGGTAGACCCAAAGTCAGTGCTCAAAGTGGCCAGAAATGCAACAACGCAAGAAGCAGGTTGGGGCAGTGCTGCTCTCGAGCAGAGCGACTCTCCCTTGCCCCTGCCAGGCTTGGCTTAGCAGCACTTGGAAGTAAGGTAACTTCCACCCTCTGAGGACCTGGGGTGGCAGGTACCGTATCAGCCCATGATGTTCTGCACTGGGATGTTTTTGTATTAGAAGCTGGTGTATGTGTCTAGCAGCAACAGTGACAGGCTCATTTGGGGTCACTGATGTTGTTGCTGTGTCCCTTCGTGCATCCCTGGTGTGCCTGGGATGGCTGCATGCCCAGCCGTTGGGGATGGGATGGAATTGGATTGTCGTTCCCCGCTGTGGGTCTGCTCCTGCCGTGGTGCTGGGGGTGGGCCTGGGGCAGCATTTGGCCCCACAGGAACAAAAGCTGCTGCAAGATGCTTAGGGCTCTGCCGTGTCGGCTGCTGTTCCCTTTATGTCCCATGGCAAAGGGAAAGGTTTCTCCCTCCCCGTTCTGCTGGGGGCTCCTTGGGGAGAAATAGGTCTTTCCTGCTGCTCTGGATTTGCAGCACACTCCTGCCCCGTAAACGGGGACACACCAGCCCTGGTCCGTTCTGTACCTTGCAAACTGGGTTGCATCATTCACATTGTTAGCCTCCGGTGCTGGGAGCTCAGGGGACAGACGTGATGCTCCCTGGGCTGGGAGCTGCCGTGGGAGCGGATGGTCCCCACAGCCTTCCCTGGTCCTGAGGCCCACACGGTGGGGTAGGGACATCCCAGGTTGCTCCTTGCTGCTCTGGCTGGAGATGGGACCAGCCCTGCTGTGCTGGGCGGGCTCCCCAAAATCCCTGCTGCTCCTGCCGGCTTCGCACGCATCCTGCTCCGTGCCAGTGCGTGCGCTAAGGGCCAGCATCGGGTGACAGCAGGTCCCTGAGCCCACGATGAAGTGTGGGGAGAGGCATTTTGGAGGTCTGAGGATTTCAGAGGCTGTGGCAGAGGCGGGGGCTGACCACAGCCCCCCAAACCATCAGCTCTGCCTGTCCCCTGCTGCTGCCTGCATGCCAGGACACGGGAGCTCTTTGACAGATGATTTTAGGTTTGCGTCGGTCTCCTATCGCTGAGACTGGGATAAGCTTCCCAGCCAACGGGGACGTGCCAGGATCCAGCCCCGCTCCCCTCCCCCCTCCCTCATATATTAAATTTCACAAATAAAACTGCAAGTGAAGAGCATCTCGGAGGGAACTGCTAAAAATAGCCCCGAGGCTGAAGCCTGAATTGTGCAGGCGAGTTCACATGCAGCCGCGATCCCTGCCCTCTCCCAGAAATATTTCAGAGCTCAGGGCTGCTTTATGGCGATGCGGGGAACCGGAGCCGGGGGGGCTGTGGAAGAAGAGCAGCATCTAGGGCTGGTAATAACCCCCAGGGACACGTAAATATTTCCCTAGCTGCGAGTATCAGGCAGCTGTGCAGGGAAATAAGCTCCAAATCTCTGAAAGCCTGGGTGTAATGTGAGACACAGAAAGGGGGCTCTGACTCCCTTTGCCTCAGCCCCAGCCTCGGTGCAGAGTGGCACAAAGACTGTCCTGTGTTTTGCCAGCTGCCCTTGTCCCCCCGAGCCATGGGGCTGTGTCTGCTGTCCCTCTTTCCCCCAGGAAAGCTATGGCCATGTATTTCCCCTTGCACCATCTCCTCACCCTGGAGAGGAGCCCCTGGAGATGATGTTTTTCCTGGCCAAAGGTGCTGACGAGGCTGGAGGGAGCCCGGCCGTGCTGTGGCCAGTGTTCAGGCTCAGCCAAGCCTGTGTGGTCACAGCCAGACCCACGGAGACACCCCGGTGCTCCCTGGTGTCACGGTGAGCTGGAGCGGGTTTTGGGGTTTGGGGTTTGCTTCGAGGAGCAGAGAGGTGCGGGGAGGCCATCGGCAGCATGTCGCGGGGGCCTGGACCACGCTCCCTGGAGGTGCCACCACCATCTTCCTCGCTCTCTGGCCCGCAAGGTAAATGCTTGGTGTGAGATGTCCCAAAAATGCAGCCGCTGCAACAGAAATGTCCCTCCCTTAGTGGGGCCTGGCGCCACCCTGGCCTGAGAGCACCCCCCCGGTGACAGCGGGCACAGAGAAACCCCCAGCCCTGCCAGCTGAACCAGGGGCTGGCACAGCAAGGGGGTGAAGTGATGTGCCCAAGAGCGTACCGAGCAGCAGTGTCAGAGGAGGGAAAGGGGGTCTTCCCCTTCTCCCCCAAAAGGAGTCTGGCCTCAGGGGGTGGGGTGGGCATGAGGGCACGGATGCTGCTGGGCGCCGGGGAGGGAAGGGGTGCTGGTGTGGCACCCAGCACACTGCAGGGGGGGGGATATGGGAGGGTCTTTTCCCATCGGCACCTCCCCAGAGCCCCCGGGAGAAGCCGGTGTCCCTCCCGGCTTCCTGCGACTGGGTCTGGGTATTCCCTGCCTCCTTTCCCGGGCGCTGCCTGCATCCCTCCCCGGGCATCCCCTGCATCCCCGCCTGGGCAAAACCTCCTTCCCTCCCCGGGCACTGCCTGCATCTCTCCCGGGCATCTCTGCCTGCATCCCTGCCTGAAGATCGCCTGCCTCCCTCTCCAGGCACTGCCTGCCTCTCCACCCGGGCATTCCCTGCATCCCCCCCCCGCTTTCCCCGGGCACTGCCTCCATTCCCGTCCC